TGGGTGCCTTGGGAGGAATGGTTGGTGAAAGGGCTGGAGGGAGGCAGCATGTCTGGCCTTGCAGTAATAGGCCTTGGGTTACTGCTGGTAATGCTGTCTTCCTCTTGTGAGATTAGAGGAGGTCAGAACATGTGGCCTCCTTGTCGTTTTTGTAGAGCAAGTACACAATAAATATAAACTACTGTGATTAGTAATATATGGAATTTATAGTATGCAAAATGTTATACAAAAGGTAAATTATTACTATTATTACTATGTATATTTTTATAATATAATAAAATGGGAACACAAATTGACAGAGACTCAGAAACTATGTCCAAAATATTTATGTAAAATCATTGGTCCAGTAGAATGGTTCTTTATTATTAGCTCTCTCCTGACTTTTCAGTTTTATTTAAATGATGCTAATCATGTTCATGGCCCAGGGGATGGCCTCGGGGCCTAAGGCAGTCCCTCGCCAAGCGCAAGGCTGGCCATTCAAATCCACCAGCCGATACCGGCAAGGTAGACCAGGCCGTCTCTTTGGGAGCTCTAGTAGCATAGTGCTTAAGGCACTAGACTGCTAACCAGAGGCTGCTCACAAAGCAGCAAAACCCACCAGCCACTCCTCGGAAGGAAGGTTGGGCAATCTACTTCCATAGTGATACTGCCTCAGAAACCCAAGGAGGGGTCGCTATGAATCAGGTCTGACTTGACGGTACATAACAACAACAACAACATTCATGTTCATGAGCATCTGAAGATCAATGAACTATCACATGGATACTGTACACTGTATTTTTAATTTTCATTCAAAACTGGAAACCATGCAAACGTCCACTGACAAGAGAGCAGATATATTACACTATATATACACAATAGGATACTATATACCAATTAAACTAACTAGAGCTATATGCATAACACAAAAGTCTTAGAAGCATACTAAATGGAAAGAAGCAAGTTACAGAGGAATGCAATATGTATATTTTTATAATATTAAAAGACAAAATAAAGCAATAGCTTTCTGGGGACACCTATATTTCTATATTAGGTCAAACCATAAATAAAAGCAAAGAAGCAATTTTTTTAAAAAATTGGAATATTTGTTACCACTAGTAGGATCTCTGGTAGCATAGTGCCTAAGGCACTTGACTGCTAACCAGAAGGCTGGTGGTTCAAACCCACCGGCCACTCCTCGGAAGGAAGATGGAGCAATCTACTTCCATAGTGATACTGCCTCGGAAACCCAAGGAGGGGTCACTGTGAGTCAGGGCCGACTTGATGGCACATACCAACAACAACAGTTGGGAGCAAGTTACAGGGATGGGATAGGTAGAAAACACAGGGTCCTTCAACAGTATTGGTAATGTTCTATTTCTTAAGTCGAATGGTAGGTTGTTGGATGTTAGGCTTTATAACTTAAATGTATGGATTAAGTATTTTGTTTGCATGTATCAAATATTTCAGATTCAATTTTTTAATTACTTTTTTAAAAAATAAGGTATTAGGAGAATATAACCAGTCAACAACAGTGCTCTCTAGAGTAGGCTTCTAGAGAACTTTACCACTTACTGTATCATATATTCTGAAATTATTTAATCCTGTCTAATGACATTATTATTAGTATTAGGTGCTCTGGTGGCATAGTGCCTAAGACATTTGACTGCTAACCAGAAGGCTGGTGGTTCAAAACCCACCAGCCATTCCTCAGAAGGAAGGTTGGGCAATCAATTTCCGTAGGATACCATCTCGGAAACCCAAGGAGGGTTTCCAACTCCATGGCAGTGGTTTTTTTTGAATGAATTTATTAATGTGTTTGTTTAGAGAGGAAAAGAAAGTCTAAAGAAAGGAAAACAAATCCTCTTAATTTCTCTCATATTGATAGGACTTCCCAAAGCCAAATAATACCCAATACTTGTTTCTATTCCTTTCACAGATTAAAATAGCTATCTGAGCAGCCTTCAGACACCAAACCCTAAAAATGATGCAAGCTAATAAATGATTTGCCAACTCAGCTCCAAAATCTCAGTGAAAAGGCAATTCAAGCCCTATATTGTTCAGGATATTACAAGAATTCTTCTCATAATGACATCTCTAAGTCATTAAAGGAAAGTTAACCTACTAATTAAGTATTCAAGGAACACAAACTATGTGCCACTCACTGTGCCATGTGTTGGAGAGGAAGTGATAAAACCCTGCACCTGCCCTCAAGAAATTCACAAATACTATGTAAGAGATCCTTGATAGAGAGGGAGAACAATGTGGAACAAAACTCAAAATCATTTGGAGGAAAAAAAAGAGGGGGGGGGGCGACCAGGTTTGCTGGTCCAATAGAGCCTGGTGGAACACTGAGACTATGGCCCCTAGCTGCCCTTCAGGTCTAGAATTGAACCACACCTGTGGGCTCCAGCCAAACAAAAGACAGGCATATGAGTTGAACACTTACCTCAAGTAGATACACTCCTTGGAGAGAACAATCATGGGAGGAAGAAGGGCTGCTTATGCACAGGGAGACAGCTCAGGGGGCAGGAGTGCGTGGAGGGATGGACACAGGGAAGAGGTGACTATGGGGAGGAAGTGGGAGGGGAGCTGTTGCATTGGGGTAAATTGTAGTCAATGTCATGAGACAAAGTGTATGTGAACTGCTGTATGGAAAGTGAATTTGCTCTGTAAACCTTCACCCAAATCACAATTAAAAAAAAAAGAGAGAGAAAAAAAAAGAAATTCACAAATAAACCAGAAAATATCTAATACACTTTAGAAAGCTTCATTTAAAAATGGCTGAAATGACAGCCTTTTCATTGAAATTTACTTTTTTTCCCCATCTGATGATTATAGTTGCTTAAGCTATACATGTCTTTGGTAATAGGGCTATTTAAACAATATATGATAGTAAAAAAGATATTACAAACACAACTCACTGAAGAAATTGTTCTGTTCTAAGATGATAAAATCAAGTTTTTACCTATAGCATTGCAGTTTTCTTTGTACCTTCAAATTTTAAGTACTTTATAATATTTTAATTTAAATGAGATCATGGATATAAAATAAAGTTTTCTACAGTCCTGGCACATAAGTAAGCTTTCAACAAATGCTGGCTACTATTATTCCCCCCCCAAAAAAAGAAAAAAGGCTGAAATGAATTGCAGTTATTTCAATGAAAAAGTCCTAGTCATATGGGCATTCTCATGTGAAACCTCTCATTTCTCAGTAAAATCAGGGAATAAAAACATTACTGCTCTATTAAAACTCTCATTATTTTCCTTGTGATAACAATCATTTCTGAATGGAGGGAAGATCATGAAAAGACAGAAGTAAGTGGACCTAAAGCAACCCATTCCTCTAAATAAAATGTAAAATCTAGGGACATACACAATAAGTGGAAATAAAACGACACATTCACTCACTTTTAAAACTGCCCACATCTTTGATCTCCTGTAATCCTTAAAGCAACCCTCTGGAACTGTGATAATGAATGTTATAAAGACCACAGGAATAAAATCCCATTACCAGCTTCTGCTTCTGTTTCTTGCAAGGCCAAGGGCTGAGCATGGTGTCCAGAAGTGGGTACAGGAAAGGCTTCCAAGGCTCCAGGGTCTCCTTTGCCAGTGCACCCGCTCGCAGGATCCTTAGAGATCTTAGCTATATTTTTCTGAAATAAATTTCCTTCACAGTTAATGCCTAGTAGTAAGGCTTATAAAATTCTCTATCTAAAATGCTGTTAAAAATACAAAAAGAAAACCTGAGAAAAGAATGCCTAACTATCATCAAAATGTTTCTTAGGGTAGTATGTGAATACTGTAACTATCAACTAGTGTCTTATGACTATAATTTGCATATTTACATATATGAATTTGAGATATATTTAATGGTTTATGTGATCAAAGCATAGGACACACTATGTGAAATCAGAATCGTTCTTGAAAATCCAGAACATTTTCGCTCCAGCAGGGGTCAAATTTATTACTAACTCTAATACCAATCTTTTGTCTTCCCCAAGTCAAAAATAAAAATGGTACAAATAATTTAAATTTCTATTGGGTTTTGTTTGTTTCTAAATACTTTAACATAAATTTTCAATTTGTTTAAAAGGTCGGTTGAAAACAAATTCCAATGTAAAAGAAGACTGAGGGTCAGTTAACTAAAAACCTTGCACATGACCATTCCTTCACTAACAAACATTTGTTAAACAATTTTTGCATTCCAATTGCAGTCAATATCATGAAACAAAATATATGAACTGCTACATGGAAAATGAATTTGCTCTGTAAGTTTTCACTCAAATCAAAATAAAAATTAAATTTTTTTTTTCTACATTCCAGTCCCTCTTACTGGCAATTGTTCTTAGCTGCCTTTTAGTCACATGCCAACTCATGGCAACCCCACCTGCACTGGAAAGAACTACCACCCAGTCCTGTGCCATCCCCACGCTCAGTTGTAGATTAGGCCATTGTGATCCTTAGGATTTTCACTGGATGATTTCAGAAGTAGATCTGGGCCTTTCCTCTGTCTTGGACTAGAAGCTCCACCACAGTCTGTTCAGCATCATAGCAACACACAGGCCTCCACTGACAGATGGGTGGTGGCTGTGCATGAGGGGCAATGGCTGGGAACTGAACCCAGGTCTCCAGCATGGAAAGGCAAGAATCCTACCACTGACTACCATTGCTCCCATCATAGGCAATACAGCTACTCAACTTATTAAGGGGTAAGATGTTCTTTGAAGACCATTTTTTAAATTTTGGAGAACTACTAAATCCCAAAGGAACTGAATAGGTGATCTTGAGAATACTGTCCTTTTTAATAACATAAAATGCATTCTATGTGCTTGATTCTCTAAGTCTTGGTTTGGATTATGAGAAATCTTTTAATTGTTAGGAAACCTACTTTGATGTCCAACAGAAGGAGAGGTCAGAAATGATAGAGAAAGAGCAAATGAGGTAGACAAGAGGAAATAAAGTAGAGTAATAACAGCTAAACCAAAAGCAGTCAAATTTTCTGGTTTCTTTTCAAAACGGGGGGAGCTCTGGTGGCGTAGTGCCTAAGGCATTTGCTAACCAGAAGGCTGGTGGTTCAGACCCACCAGCCACTCCTCGGAAGGAAGGTTGGGCAATTTACTTCCCTAGTGATACTGCCTCGGAAACCCAAGGAGGGGTTGCTGTGAGTCGGATCTGACTGGACAGCAGTGAGTTTGGTTTTGGTTTGGTATTCAAAACTGGAGAATAAAAGCCAAGATAACACAGAAGGCAAGAAAGCAGCAACCCTTTTGTCTTTGTTTTAACTTGTTGGATAATTAGAAGAGACAGAACACTATCCTTAGACTGTTTGAAAATTTGGCTCCAATTGATATTTTTCTTCTCTTTTATGAAATATTGTTATTACTATATTCTGATAAGGCATTCACTTTCATGAAAACTATATTTTTAATTCATTTGCATGCTATTTTTTTTAACTGATCAACTATGTTATTTAAATGAGGACTGGTTTTATATATGAAGCCCTAGTGGTACAGTGGTTAAAGAACTGGGCTTCTAACCAAAAGGCTGGCTTTCAAACACACCAGCCACTCCATGGGAGAAAGATGCAGCAGTCTGCTTCCATAATGATTTACAACCTGGGAAACCCTACGGGAAGTTCTACTCTGTCCTTTAGGGTCACTATGAGTTGGAATTGACTTGATGGCAGTGGGTTTGGTTTTTGGGGCTTGTTTTCTATATACTGAGAAACAGTTTTTTCATATTTAACTTCAGTCAATAATTCTACAAATCAGATATTCAATAAATTATAAATATATTTCACATTCACATTTATGCTACCTATACTGCAAATTCATACTAACTGCTTTACCTCAAGGTCCTGAGCTAAGTGAGCTCTAAAATGGCAGAAGGACAAATATTACTTCTCTGACAAATGACAGATTAGGCATTTGAAAGCCACCCTTTTCTCAGGAATGGAATCTGACTCCACCCAATAAAAGCTGCAAAAGTCTAAGTTCTTAGCCAAATTATGTGATTCTGTCTCCACAGACTTGTGAGCTACATTAGTGCACACAGATGATTTTCTACTGCTTGCACAATTACAAGTCCTGTAAAAAGATCCAAAGGTTGATTATATATTAATAGCAGGAGGAAGGTGTTGTATTTTCTTGATGTTTAAAGCAGAGATAGCCTTTACAGAAAAGCAAATGTTAAAGTGTGTAACACGATTTTTCTATCACTTGTCATCCTCAAACCCTGCTATAGACAACTTTCATATTTTAATGATCTATTTTCTCAAAAAAAAAAAAAAAAAAAATCTAAGTAAAGTATTATAAGCCATATTCATGGAAAATGACCTTGCCCATTATTTGTACAATGAATGTAGCTACTGTCCAATAGTCACATCTTTGTAAATCAAGGATTTTCAATTGGAGTAAGTGGGGCTAAGACAGATTGATCTTTCTGGTCCCTCCAGCTCTGAGACTCTGTACTGCCTTCAGTTGTAGGATACAGGAAGGCCAAGATCCAAGATCACCATGCAAAACTCAAGGAATCAGATAGGCCAGGGATCTTTTTTTTTTTTCCCCCTTACAGATGAGCAACTACAATATATGACTGCCCAAAGGAGCTCTAGTGGTGTAGTGGGTAAGGCATTTGGCTGCTAACCAGAAGGTCATTGGTTCAAAACCCCCCGCTGCTCTACGGGAAGACGACAAAGCAATCTACTTCCATAAAGATTTACAGCTTTGGAAACCTAAAGGGGGTCACTATGAGTTGCAATTGACTTGATGGCAGTTGAGTTTCTTTTTTTAAGTAATGAGTTAGTTACCAGTGTCACACTGGAACTCAGATTTTTTTTCCCCTACTTTTATACCACTTTCCAGTAGATATTAATACCAAATGCTCAATGCCAGCCTTGAAAATCTTTAATCACAGTATCTTGTCATATGCCATCGAGTTGATTTTGATTCACAGTGACCCTACAGGACAGAGAAGAACTGCCCCATCAGGTTTCCTGGGCTATAATCTTTTTGCAGCCAGTTGTCAGGTCTTTTCTCCTATGAAGGAGCTGGTGGGTTTGAACCACTGTCCTTTTGATTAACAGCTGAGTACTTAACCATTGCTCAACCAAGGCTCCTTCACAATATCTTAATGGGCCTTAACTCTTATTTCTTAACTCTTCTAAACACAAGCCTTCTAATCTTGGCATTTGTTCTCTCTTTAACTCCAAGTGTGGAAATGGGCTGATCATAATGCTTAAAATATCATTTTGGATTTTTCACACATAACTAATTTGTTTAACCACATGAGAGCTCAAGACTTTGGTTTTATCAGATCTTCCACACAAACTGAAAGCTGGGCTCAGAGAATGTGTGTGTTTGTGTGTGTGTATATGTATGTGTGTATGTATGTGTGTGTGTGTGTGTGTGTGTGTGTGTATATATATATATATATATATATATATGACTAATTCATTCTACATGTACATAAATAATGCACCAAAAATTTGGGTTCAAAGTTTTGTGCAAGGGAGCAATACCTCTATTTACTTGTTTCTATGTCAATACTCTTTGTATTGGGTTGGCATCTTTTGCCTATATGAGATAAAAGCAAGAAACAGGCTTTCAAACTCTTCCAGAAATTCTTAAAAACCCTAGTTCAATATGATACGCATTTGTTGACGCGGTCATGTCTAAAACACAAAAGTAAGAAGGAAAGTTATTCAGTTTCTGAAATCTCTGGCCCTTATAAACAACAATTTTTATTTTTTAGGAAAAAGATGTCTGGAGCCTAAAGGCTCTGCCTCATAATTGTGGCACTTTAAAAAAGGAGTTTTTTTTTTTTCTCCCTGACAATAAAATATGCAATCCTTTGGGATTTCTACAGAAAGTTTTCTAAACCATTGTTAAAAATACAAATCTTACATTTGTTGAACTATTAATTAAAGGAAAAAAAATTACTACATGCAACTTCTATAATCATCCTTAATGTTTAATATCTCTTTTCACTTCTCAGGAACATACCTTTTCCCACTGCGGACCAGCATTTTCTGTAAGTGGAAAGAGTATATCTTGAAATACTTTCTGTATGCAGGCCTTTAGTTTTTCAAAATATTGCACAGACACCCATTTTGAAGAACAAGTCGACATAACTTCCAAAAGCTGCTTGCCTTCTGAACCACCAACATGTTCATTTTGGGCACCTCTTAAGAGAAATTCAAGTATGGTTAGGACATCTTCTTCATACTGATAAATTTCCACTTGGATCCTCCTCCCTTCCTGCATAGTCCATTCTCTGCGACTCTGGTCTAAACATGTTTGTAATTCTGTCTCCTTCTGAAGAAGAAGTTCAGTTTTTTGTTTCATAAAGTCTTCTTTAGCTGCTGCAAGCACCTCATTAATTTTATTTCGATGATCATCTAAAAACTGCCGATAATCTTGTTCATTTTGTTCTTGAATTCTGTGGATTTCTTCTTGCTTTGCTTTGTTCCATTCACTCCGAGCTTTAGCCAACTCAGCCCTCACAACCACAGGGACCTCCTTGTCCTTTAACTCGAGTTCCCTCTCAAGAGAATGGATTTTCTCTTCCAGTTCCTTTCCAGGTATTACATTTTTCTTCATATCTTCAAGCTCACTTTTCCATTTCTCTTTAGCTTCAGAAACAGCAAACAATATCTATAGGATATAACAATTTACATTTAAAAAATATCTTTATGATTCTCCTCATTAAAAAAAAATATTAAACTAACATGACTGTTTAGGTTAACCTCTGAACTCAGTAAGAGATTTATAATCAAACTAAAGAGGAAAAAAAAAGACATAATTTTACAAATACTTAAGGATCTATTCCTTCATCTTAAATCAACCAATACATTTAAAAGCGAAAATATCAGTTTGCTGATAATAAACTTATTTAAACTAGGGGGGGACAAAAAAACAAAATTTAAACTGGCTTAAACACATACACACAGATAAAGATAGGTAGTCCTTGCTAGATGACATATTCAAGTTACAATGGACCATACTTACTGTGTTCTTTTTTTTGGGGGGGGGGTACCTCTTATTGTTAAAAATATGTATTACATACAGTGTTGCAGCATATAATTTACATAATTCTCAGATGTCCACTAACAAATGTTCAAAATTCAGATTTAAAAAGATACTGATAATAAAAGGCAATTAAGAATGAAATCTTGGAGGAAAAAAAAAGGTCAGAATCAACATATGATGGAGCAGTTGGAAAGGAACTCCAGCGTCAGTCAGGGATTACCTGTATATAATTATGTAAGTAGCTAAACTCATTCTAGAAAAAAAAGTATTAGTTGTTAAAAAGAAATAGATATAGTTTCAAATTGTATTTAAACCCACCCCCTACCCAACAAGTAAAAATTAAGTATTTTTTACCAGAAACAAAAAGGGCCTAGAATGAAATTTTACTTTTGCTTAGGCCTATAACACCTTTGTAAATACTTGCTGATCAACAAAATTGTACTTTTTTTTTTTTTTTTTTAAGGATTTGGGTGAAGATTTACAGAGTAAATTCACTTTTCATACAGCAGTTCACATATACTTTGTCTCATGTCATTGACCAAAATTTACAATGCAGCAGCTCCCCTCCCACTTCCTCCCCATAGTTACCTCCTCCCAGTGTCCATCCCTTCATACTCTTCTGCACCCTGAGCTATCTCCCTGTGCATAAGCAGCCCTTCCTTCTCCCATGATTGTTCTCTCCAGGGCGTGTGTCTACTTGAGGTAAATGTTTAACTCACATGCCTGTACTTTGTTTGGCTGGAAACCACAGGTGTGGGTTCCATTCCAGACCTGAAGGGCAGCTAGGGGCCATAGGCTCAGTGGTTACACGAGGCTCCATTGGACCAGCAAACCTGGTCCCCACCTTCAACAAAATTGTACTTTAACGTAATTTTAGTGGTTAGAACCATTTATTAGATGACAATACCAAACAGAAAAAGTCATTTTTTCATTATCTATTTTTCTTCTAGGGTGTAAATTATAAAACAATAAATCAGAGAGGATCGAATCACAAAATAGAAACATTTTTCATTCAATACAGTACAGACTTCAGAGATAGGCCTACCTTTGAGTAAAAGCTTAATAAATAATAATAATTAACAACAACAACAACATTTTTCTTCTATAACAGAATAGCAGGACCAGTAGACCACAGAAAATAATAGCTAGTATACAACCAAGGGGTAACAGGGAGTCAAAACACCTGGGATCAGTTCTGATTCTGCTGCTGACTGTGCAGGCAGTGTAGCACGCTGGTGCTTACCAGAGCTGACTCTGGAGACAAACTGCTGGAATTAACTTACCAGCTATAGGACGACAGGCCCATTCCTCAATTTCTCTGGACCTCAGTTTCCCCATCTGTAAAATGGGGATAATTACAATACCAGCCTGCCAGGGAGCTCTGGTGGTGCAGTGCCTAACGCATCTGGCTGCTAACCCGAAGGCTGGCAGTTCAAACCCACCAGCCACTCCTTGGAAGGAAGACTGAGCAATCTACTTCCGTAGAGATACTGCCTCAGAAACCCAAGAAGGGGTTGTTATGAGTTAAAATTGACTTGATGGCAGTGAGTTTGGTTTGGTTTACCCAACTTTATCACTTCGGAACTCCAAGCAACATTCATACTGTCATTTTTTCTTCACTCTCTTTCAAATTACTTATGGAAATATTTCAAAATACAAAGAAATGCAGAGAATAATGTAATGAACATCCATATAATTTAAGAAGAAAAATATAATAGATTTTTATTTGTGCTGAGTTATTTCCATAAATAATTCTGTGGAGTAATATTATGAATCTGTTCTGGAAGAAGTGCAGCCAGAATGCTCCTTGGAAATGAGAATGACCAGACTTCATCTGACCTACTTTGATCATGTTGTTAGAAGTGACCATTCCCTGGAGAAGGGTATCATGCTCGGTAAAGTGGAAGATCAACGAAAAAGGGGAAGGCTCTCAACGAGATGGACTGACATAGTGGCTACAACAATGGACTTAGGTATAGCAGGGATTGTGAGGCTGGTGCAGGACCAGGCAGTGTTTCATTTGTAGTACACAGGGTCGCTATGAATCAGAGCTGACTTGACACCACCTAACAACAACAACGAATACACAGTAAGAATCATGCTAACTTTAGTGATGAACCACATTATTTTCCGAAATGCTTGTGCCATCAGGATGTAGTATGTGTGCTGCAATCTATTAAATTTTTTTATTAGAATTAAATGAGAGGATTTCCAAAGCACTATGTATTATAAAACTATTATGGAATAATTCCTCATGTTTTGAAACAATTTGTTATTTATTAAGCTTTTACTCAAAGGTAGGCCTGTCTCTGAAGTCTGTACTGTATTGAATGAAAAATGTTTCTATTTTGTGATTCGATCCTCTCTGACTTATTGTTTTACAATTTTGGTATTGTGTCAAAACACCAAAACTATGTTGGAATTGGTTTAGACCTATAAATTAAGTTGGGGGAAGGCACACTGTCATATTTGATTTTCCAGTCAGGTGGCACTTCAAACTCACCAGCCACACCTCAGAAGGAAGGTTGGGCAATCTACTTTTGTAAAGATACTGCCTCGGAAACCCAAAGGGGGTCACTATGAGTCGAAACAACTTGACAGTAGTGAGTTTGAGTCAGGGACCATGACAATATCCCTGGGAAGGAGAGTTTGCTGTTTACCACAGAGAATACATCATATATGTTATAAAACTACTGACACAGCATAGAAAACAATCTCTAAGTATGTTCAAGGATGCTGTGTAACTAATAATATACAGATAAAACCTTATTCTCAATTTCTCCTATGGCTAGGCAAGAGAGAAAGGAATTTACTTTAGAAGTTAAGAGAATTTCTTGATTTTGAGAGTTGTTTTTTTTTTTTTTAATTTTATTTTATTTAGATTTGGGTGAAGATTTACAGAGCAAATTCACTCTCGATACAGCAGTTCACATATACTTTGTCTCATGTCATTGACCACAGTTTACCACAATGCAACAGCTCCCCTCCAATTTCCT